GGCAATCTCTAACTGTCCGTACAATTCAATCTGGTTGGAGAAATACAGGACTATATCCATATAATCCTCCACTTGTAATTGACAAGATACAAGAGACTCGGAATCAAACACCTGATTATGAGCCATTTGCTTCATATAATATTATCTCAACACCGAAAACAACTATGCAAAGTGTGCAAGCGGTTGAACATTGGCAGAAGAGAGCAGAGGAAGCTTTCTCATCGCCTTCAAGAGAAGGGTTTCAATCATTTGCACGTGGAACTACAGTTGTTCTACACCGGGCAGAGCTCTATAAGACCGAGCTAGATATTATGACTCTACGTGCAGTAGAGCAGAAGGCAGCAAAGGCAAGGGCACGGAAATCACTACAGAAAGGAGGGCAGTTATATGCATCAGATGCACGGAAAATGCGGGAAGAGAAGAAAGCAAAGTTGCAAGCAAAAGCAGACGCAAGAGCAGCAAGGGAATCGGACCAAGTAGTAAAGCAGCTACAAGCGCAAGCACGTAAAATCGAAATTGAAGAGCGTAAGGTTGAGAGGAAGCGGGTAGCAGAGCGGAAGAAGGAAGGGTTGAAATCAAAAGTGATCATTTTACGGTATAGTAAGGATCAAAGTGATAGTAGCAATAGTGGCAGTAGCGATAGTGATAGTAGTTCTATTGATTTTATGTTTTAATTATATAGTTATATAGTTGATATATAAGGCGTCTTTTTCTTCGTTTTATGTGTCGCACATCTTGCTGTCGCACGCACAACTTGCTGTCGCCACCTACGAGCGAAGCGAGTGGGTGGAACACCGAGTAGTAAAATCTCAATTCCTGCGATGTCAGCTGAGGTTGAACGGTTGTTTTCTAGCTGTAAAATCGCAATTACAGACCGGCATAATGGAATTGGGATTGATAGTGTAATCGTCGTGACCAAACTTTTCGCTTCACTCAAGGTTGGAGTAAGCAACATGCGCCACTTCACGCGTGAGGAAGCAAGTTGCGCCAACTCACAACTTGCATATGTTCACCACTACTCTGTAACAAAACCTTTACCATAGCCACACGTAGTATTTTATATAGTAATTCAATCCAATTTATTTAATGGAAGAGACTCCACTCTCAAATGCCTGTAAATGGCTAGCAGAGAACCCCTCAGAATCTGCGACTACTGCCAGTCGACTTTTCAAGGTCGCGCGATCATCAATACGGTCGAGTATTGCCCGAGCAGCTCAACAGCAGCAGCAAGCTCAGCAACAGCAGCTACCCCAACACAGGGGTAAGAATAAGCTGCTATCTACTGCGAAAATTGAGGCGCTTAAGAAATGGATACTTTAGCAGTATTACCTAGGACTTGGAGCTACTAGGAATATGATATTTGCCGCGGTCTGCAAACTCCGGAGCCCACAGCCCCCGCCATCACAGAGTTGGCTTACAAAATTTATTAAAAATGAGCTTCAAGAATACCACTTTATTACTACAAAGCCAATTGCGCAGCAGCGTACGAAGGCTCAAGACGAGCCTACTGTTACTACTTGGTTTCGCGACTACCTTGAGTTTGTACTACAGCGTAGTATACAGCCAGAGTCAATTTGGAATATGGATGAAACTGGCTTCCGGGTAGGAATCCCAGGTGGTGAGCGGGTAATTGTACCGCTAGTATCAAAAGAGCTCTACACCCCAAGCCCTGAAAATCGTACATCTATTACTATCCTTGAGGCTGTGTCTGCTGTTGGAAAAGTCATACTGCCTGTACTTATTATTCCGGGCAAAATTCATATGGATTCTTGGTACCACACCAACCTTGAAGGCACAGAGCTCTTCTTGCTCTCCGACTATGGATTTACTAATAGCCAGCTTGCTCTCCGGTGGCTACAGCACTTTGCGCAGCATACAGCTCAATATGATAATGGAGAGCCGAAGGTTCTACTGCTTGACTCTCACGTTAGCCATACAAGCGATGATTTTATCATTGCAGCTGAAGAACACAACATTATCATATATACCTTCCCATCACATCTTACACACGTTTTACAGCCATTAGACGTTGGGGTATTCCAGCCTTATAAGCACTCGCACTGAGAAGCTGTGCTTGCAGCTATAAGGCATATGGATATTACCTATGACCTCCAGTCCTTTATGCGGGATCTCACTCGCATGCGGGAGCAGACCTTTAAGGAGTCTACTATAATATCCGCCTTTCAGAAAGCTGGTATTTGGCCGGTTAGCTGTGCTGTAGCTCTTGCAAAACTACGTACGTACTCGCAGCCTACTATAGAGCCTACACCTACGCCTATACCTACTCTACCAATCCGAGTTTCTACACCTAAACCCACGACTTTTAGGGGGGTAGAAGAGGGGCTACAGCACTGGAAACAGCGGGTTCCAGAAGGCCTTAGTAGCCCCTCGAAGCAGAGCTACAGGAATTGGCTTACCGGCACTGAAGAGGTAGTAGTAGCCGGCCAACTCCAGGAGCTTGACCTGCGTACTGTACGGCGGCAGGTTGAGGAGTCCAAAAAGCGGGCAAGCCGAAGTAGGGCCCGCCTTCAATTTGGAGGCGAGCTCTCTGCTGACCGAGCCCACGAGCTTCAGGATGAAAAAGCTGATTGTTTAGCCCAGAAGCTCCAGGCCAAAGAAGCCCGGATAGCCCGCCAGGCTATCAACCGGGCCCGCAAACAGCTCCGTAGAGCTGGAATTGAGGCCCGGAAGCAGGAACGCCTCCGGAAAAAGAGGGTGGCATTCTACACTAATGCCAGCCTCCCAATTCCTGACCCGGAAGCCTCTGAAAGTGAGGGCGAGGAGCAGTATGAGATTGCGGGCGAGTGTGGGAGTGAGCGTGGGAGTGAGGATGGGAGCGAGCGTGGGAGTCAAAGTGATAATTCAATAGAGTAGGCAGATTATGTACCTTCACATACAAATTACTATGGGCTAGTACTTACTCTCAAAATCATGAGTTGGCGCAACTTGCTTCCTCTCGCGTGAAGTGGCGCATATTGCTTACTCCAACCTTGAGCGAAGCGAAAAGTTTGGTCACGACGATTAGAGGCTATTGAGTGTTTGAAGTCCTAGATGAAGAACAATATCAATTTTGTAGATAGCGAAGTAGAAGATCTAGTCTCGTTATTAGAACTAGTGTAATTAGCATAATTGAATTACTATTTATGTTGTGGTAACTTATCTGTAAATGGTCTTATATTTTACAAGTTTCAGGCCCCTCGCGCCCTCTAGGGGGAAAGGGGGCTAGGGGTTCTTAACTATATTCAGCCTCTTATACGAGCCATACTCTTTGCTGTATACAGCTAGTGCAACTATGGCAATAATTCAGTCCGTAATACTGACCAGTCCGTATTATTGGTGGATGCAGTCCGTAGGGACTACCCTCAGTCCGTATTACTAGTAGGTTAGTCCGTAGGGACCCCTAATTACGGACTGACTGGACTACTCGGAACACTGGTGACTGCGTAGTGCTTGTACTTGTTGGCTGTACCACAGCAGCTGCTGCAGTGCCTGTGATATTGAAGTAATGGCTGTTTGCCGCTGAAGCAGATTCTCCTTCTATAAACAAACAAAGGTAGAACATGTTCGATATCGAAAGATCCTTGCTCGTATGCACGGTCCAGCTCAACGAGCCAATATCACCCACTGCGTTTTCTATGATAATAAGTCAGTATTAAGCAAACACAGATGGACAATATTTGAAATAAACATACGGGTGAGGTATTCAAATGGTCTTAAAAATTGGGTCCCATTTAGTTGAAACATGGTTAGTGACGTGCGAGTGGCCGCTTCCCCTGGTGTGCCATTGTAGGTTCACCACCGAGCCTTCAACATAAATAGTATTTAAGCTGAAATCGCCAAAGTCTCCAATTGGGGGAGGATTAATGAATTTCAAACAGAAACCAGCAGTAAAGAGCGCTGAAAGGTGAATGAATAACTAGGGCCGCATTTTGCGGGTTTGAAACGTCGCTGCCGTTGATAGTTAATAGATGTACCATACGAACGCAAATAACAGAGACGAGAAAATAAAAAATGGGGAATGGGGGATATAAGAGATATACTAAACACGCTAACTGGACACTTACGATACTTTTTGCAGTATATCAATTCTCCAACGAGAACCCAAACTCCAGTTGTGGCCATTGGTGATGGTTTTGGTTGTGGACGGTTAGGAAAACACAAGATGTCGCCTGGTAGGGCGGTTACGCCCACGGACCCTTGTAGCCGCCGACCCACTAGCCGCCCATCACTTTGAAACCCTTCCCCTTTTGGTGCCTGTCACCGATGAAACCAACAAACAAATCCCTTTTGATTCTTTGACTGGCCTACTATTGACCCTTTAGCCAAAGCTAAACCTCTTTGTTGCAGTTGATCCGCTGTCAGGATGTACTCGCCCTACCAAAATAGATGGGATGCCACGCGCGAGGCAGAGTGCACCGACGACAGGTTTCAAGAGCATTCGTACAGTATATTTCAAGCCACACCTCATGTCTTTTCCTTAGTCGTGTTTCGAGTTGTCACAAAGTCAGCATCGCAGTTATGCTGCTCCCAAATAAGCCCTCGAAGTCCAAGTTATTCAGGTTTTCTACTCATTATTTTCTGCTTTATTTGCTATTTAAACTACCTGAGCTTGCATTTTTGCGGCTGGAAAGGATTCAGTATTACAGTCACGCCTGCAACAACACACAGCAGAGGAAACGCCATTAAGGTCCGCGATACCAGAGAAAATCTGGTACAAACTTGCCAAAGGGCCTGAGAATAAATCGCGAGAGTGGACTGATACTTGCCTGAAGAACAACCCCACCTATCAATCCGAATTAATGACAGATGACTCGACCGATCTCTACGTCCAGGAAAAATTTGCCGGCCGGCCCGACATTGTCGCCCTCCCTTTTCCCATTCTCAAAGCCGATTTCCTGTGGTAATACAAGGAAGACACTGTTATAGTCTTGGGAATGGAGTTTGACGTGGGCTGGGGAGACAAATCCACGCGCCAGTTTGCGAGTTGGATGATAGTGACGATGGCTGGATCGCCGCACATATCGGTGATAATCGATGACATACTAGAGGGAGTGCGCGAGAAGGCGGACAAATATGAAATTGCAATCGCAGACTTGACACTCGACATGATCGGTGATGTCTGTGATCTGACGGGCCCAAGAAGAATGACACGCAGTATTATGAAGAGCTTGAGATTAACTCTCGATGAGACTGTGGATGAGAGGAATATTTCCAACCTCTACGAACCGAAGCTGATCGGTGACGTCTTGGTATTACCTGGATTTTCGTTTGCGGCGTCGACAAATCACTACAAAGAGGAACAGGAGCCGGCGTTGCTCACGCATCATTATGCTAGCAGTTGGAGGAATAAGCACGGCGTAGAACTGGTCTGATCCGGTATTTTACGATGTCCGAAGTCTTTTCAGTGAATATGAAGACAGGCGCAGAGTCCTGGGAGAAAAGCAGGGCTGGGACCAGCTTATGGATAGAGGAGGGGCGCAGAGTCCGGGACCGATGGGAGTGTATGGTCAGCGAAGACATCGGATGCATTGTTCGTTGGTACCCGAGAAGCAGTGAAGGAACATCCGCTTGCGAAAGTTCGAGTTGGAAGCACAGTGTGGTGAATCTGAACAAGGATGGATAGTATACTCTAAACTCTAAATGTAAATTAAGTGCATTATTGACTAAATCCGTATTTTTGGGATACGGGACATCAATATCCAGCCAATTGATTCAAATGTACAATATGTCCAGGCTAGCCCTTTTCAGGGGCAGGCATTCCACCATTCCTCAACCCCTCAAGCACTTTACAGCCTGGTTCCGATATTAACATGCACAGCCTTCGAGTTCGTATACCCAGCCAACCCCGCCTCCCCGAGCTCCCTGCCAATCCCACTCTGTTTCACGCCTCCAAATGGCACCCTGAAGTCACCGTCATTGCTCGAGTTAATCCATACCATGCCCGCCTCCAGCTTCCTCGCAATGCCATGCGCACGCTGGATATTCTGCGTGAAAACAGCCGAACCCAGGCCGTAGATCGTCTCGTTAGCCATCTCGATAGCCTGCTGCTCGGTCTTGAAAGATGCAATGACAACAAAGGGTCCGAAAACTTCCTCTTTGTAGATGTCCATCTCGGGCTTGACGTCTGAGAAGATAGTGGGCTTGACGAAGTATCCCTTTCCGTCGCCTACGTCTGTGAAGCTCTCTCCACCACAGACCAGCTTCGCGCCTTGGTCCTTGCCGGACTTGGCGAAGCCGAGAACGCGCTCGTGCTGTACCTTGGTGATCTGAGGGCCTTGGCTGGTGGTTGCGGCGAAAGGGTCGCCGACGACTTGGATCTCAGAGACGTATTTGCTGAAGTCAGCGACAAACTTGTCATAGACACCCTCCTGGACGAGGATGCGGGATGTGGCGCAGCAGACTTGACCTTGGTTGTAGAAGATGCCGATGTGCTATGCATGTTAGGTTGCGTTCATTCTGCATCAAAACCGTGAAGAAACTTACAGCCCATTTGACAGCTTGGTCAAGCTCGGCGTCATCGAAGATCAACAACGCAGACTTTCCACCAGTCTCGAGAGTGATGTTCTTCATGTTAATGGATGCCATCTTCATAATCTCCTTGCCCGTAGTGGTGCTACCAGTGAACGCAATCTTATCGACGTCCAAATGGCTCGCAAGTGCCTTCCCAGCCTCTCTTCCATGCCCGTTGATAATATTAATAACTCCTGGCGGGAAACCAGCCTCCTTCAACAAACTAGCCATGTACAGAATCGATAACGGGGTCTGCTCCGCTGCCTTGAGGACAACCGTATTACCACACGCCAAAGCCGGTCCCAACTTCCACGCCGCCATCTCCAGTGGAAAGTTCCAGGGGATGATCTGCCCGCAAACGCCAACGGGCTCTTTGATAGTATATGCCAACTTATCGGCACCGACGTCAATGGTCTGGCCGTGGTTCTTGTCCGCGTAGCCGGCATAGTACCTCAAGACCGTCGCGCTGCCCGCGACGTCGTCATTGAGAGACACGCTATATGGCTTTCCATTGTCCCATGTCTCAATGGTGGCCAGTGTCTCCGCGTGCTTGTCCATGAGGTCGGCAAGCTTGAACATCATCGTCCCGCGATCGGTGGCGGGGATGTCGCGCCATGTAGGGTTCTTGAAGGCGGCGCGGGCTGCGGCAACTGCAGCGTTTACGTCGTCTTCGGTAGCTGCGTACACGGAAGTGATTGGGGTCTCATTTCTGTCAAGGCAATAGTAAGTTTCTGTGGAATGACACCGGCGGTGAGACGAGCAGGATTGGACTTACGTGGGGTTGATCGTCTCGATCTTCTGGCCATTGCTGCTCTTTACGAACTCCCCATTGATGTACAGGCCGATGGGCTGGGTGTACGTGACGCCATTGGGGGCTGTCAATTCGACGGAAAGGTCGGAAGACATCGTAAGGGTTGTCTGTGTACTGAAAAGTTGGTATTGTTTATGCGGGTTGGAAGCTGGTGGCAGTCGCGGTGAAGCTTTGAAGCGCGTAATGTTCGATGAAGGTTTTGAGTGGGCTACTGAAGATAATGCTGCGTTGCGGAAGGGAGAACAGAGCTTATGAACGAGCATCTCAAGTGGAATGAAGTTCAGGGAAAGAGCCAACAAGAGGTAAAGGTTAGATGTGGGGTTACAGTGCGGGGGGGGAAGTGTTGGGGAGTGGAGTGAAGTGGTGTCAGCATATGACGATACCGTGCTTTGGCGCGATATTGCCGCGGTTGTTGCCGAATCTAGGCCTTCAAAATAAAATATGAGCTGCCTCCTTTCTCTAAGACCACTATTTCTTGCTTAGTATTGTAAATAATTTATTTGGAACATTGTACTAGCTATATTGTGCTTTTTAAGGTGTGTATATAAGCATATGCTTTTGTAAACATTTTCAATGTATAAATGTAAGTAGCTGTCATGTATTGCATTTCATATGCGGCCCGTTATGCGGCCACCCCTGGTTTGCAGATAGGTAATCTGAACTACGACGACGCTTATTCTTAACAATTTGGTATTATCGATACTGTATATATATATATTCCTTGCATTCCACTCAGACAGTCCTGTTATATTGAAAGACTGCCAGTATATGTCCAATTTCAGCTGCCGTCAACGTCACCGTCTCCCCAAACTCCAAACAAATAACCCCCTTAAAACTTTCTCTCCCCCATCCTGGTAGTTCCCAATCTGCTCCGCCCAGTACGTGATATAAATAAATAGTTACAAGACCTCCTTCCCCGCCCCAGTTCGCCTTTTACTTTAGCATATAAGCTCCATGCTCCAAACACCCGCCGCCGCTGCAGAAAAAAACAAAGCGATAACAAAAAGACTCCGCCACGCTGAGAAACAAAAGGGGTATAAATAGGTATGCTCGGTCGCCCGATCTATGCAATTCTTCGGTGGTGTTGGCACACGCAGTGTGCCGTGATAAGAGCGAGTTATAAAAACAGATGGTGTGGTACAACAGAAGATGCGGTACAATATATAATGTGATGTGATATGAGATAAATAATAGTGTGATAGTATGATAATTCGTTGTTGCTTGCAGTAGGTTGTAATATGGTACCGTTGGGTTAATTTGGTTTGATAAAGGGTATGTTTTGGCGGGCAGTATTTGGAGTGATGATAGTGACGACCCTATTGCCGCTGCCCGGTAGAGTCGCCTGGCTTCGGCGTCGGTTGTTGCGCTTGCTGTTGTGTTTGCTGTTGAGCTTGCTGTTGAGCTTGATGATTTGCTTGATGATTTGCTTGATGATTTGCTTGATGATTTGCTTGATGATTTGCTTGATGATTTGCTTGATGATTTGCTTGATGATTTGCTTGATGATTTGCTTGATGATTTGCTTGATGATTTGCTTGATGATTTGCTTGATGATTTACTTGATGATTTGCTTGATGATTTGCTTCGTACTGTGCTTGGTACTGTGGTTGTTGCTGTGGTAGTTGTCCACTTGGCCACGGTCGGTCACTACTACCTTGGGGATGGAAGATAGATTGCGGACGTTGGGCAACGGTATTGGAAAGCCAACTTGACCCCGCTACAGGGCCAGAAACGCTTCTGGATTGGGGAGGTAGATATTGTGGCTGCTGGCCTTCTGGTCGAGGTTGTGCGCTGGCGTATGGGTTGGTTGGAGGGAGATATTGCATATGCTGCCCTTCTTCTGGTCTAGGTTGGTTGCCAGAGCGTTCATATTCTCCTTGGTCGTCTAGTCGCCTTCGTCTTGCAGGTCTTTCGCTTTGGCTCATGTCACCTCCAGGGGATTGCCGTCGTGAGCCGGGAGGAAGGGCTTGAGAAAGAGGAGAGGGCTCTCTAACATTAGGACTCTGCGGCCGCTTTTGTAAAGCCTGGCTTCTAGTTGCCGGGTTGTCGTATAACATCTGCCACAATGTATCTCTCTCCGCCCGATAGAAGTCGCTCCGTTCCTTGTAGTTGTCTATCAGCTTATCTCTATCTTGAATTTCTTTGCTCTCCTGTTGCTTTTTATCTTTCGCCCTTTCGCGGAAACGCGCGGAGGCACTGGCATTGCGCTTACGCCTATTGGCGGCCTCAATCGATCCTACATCCACATCCACAGTTATGTTGAACTCGCCATTTCTTGCTGCCCAAACCAGGCCATGCCCACCGCTAACGGGGCCTTGGAGGGGTATTCTCTCCGGTGGTTGAGTTGTGTAGGGGCCTGGTTCTTGTAGGTTTCCTTGTGACGGACCTCCTTCTGGGACAGCTCCTCTTTGCGTTGAACCTGTGAAATATGGTGGGCCAGCAGGCGGCTGGCTCAGCTGAGTTATCGGAGCGGGCGATGGGTGGCTGCTATAAGAGTAGGGAGAGTTCGGGCTTGCACTCTGTGAATTTGGTAACCTTGGTGTTGGCCCTCCCATCACAGCAACACTCGCTCGTCGGTTTAAAGGTGGCCCAGACACTGGAGGAGGCAAATTGATAGGACCTCGAATATGTGCAGGAATAGCGGGCACTGGTGGGATTTCTGACGAATCACCTGTCCCCGGGGCTACAACGTGCGGCCACCCCGCCTCGTGCTCAGGTGGTGGCTGTACGAAGGGTCTCTGGGCTCCCATCGCCGAATTGCCAAGACTAATAGATCTATGGACGCTTGGGACCAGACTTCTCCTGCGCCGCCCGGCGAAGCCGGCGTTCGTTGGCAACAAACCAGGGCTATTCGGAGGGCGGTTTAAGCGCGATATGAGTGGCAGTATGCCTGTGCCAGTAGTCTGTTGTGGTAGCGACCGGTCCACGAAAGCCATCTGGGAATTTGAACCAAACGTGGAGTGCACACCAGCGGTTGCAGACCCCGTTGGGTTTAACATGGTATGGACCCCAACTCCCCGAGAAGCACCACCAAGTGTACGACTATCTCCAGGCGTCATTTGCGGATAAGGTTGCGCAGGAGGTTGCGCCGCTGGTTGGTGGCTCAGCAGCTGTGAATTTTGTTCTCGAGAGATTTCATCTCCATGGTCAAGCCTAGCATGTTGACCTCCTTGTCTCCGAAAAGTATCAGCGGGCGAACTATCATTCCGGCCATCGGCGGTTGATTGAGATACAGGACGAGACGGAGCTGGCCTCTGTGACATTGAGCCCTGATCTCCTGGCCCTTTATGGTCCCAGAGATCGGGACATGGGAGTTTTGGCCCGTCCTGTCCCAAAGCTGGACTGCCGTGGGGGCTCTGGTCAGATAGTATGTGGCCTCTCCCTACAACACTGGGTTGTTGTTTTTGAGGCTTCGTGCGGAATTTGCAGGATACAAGAAGGTGGAAGCAGCGAACGCTTGGGGCGTCGTCCGGTAGAGGAGGGTTTGCACAGCCAGGGCGAAAGACGATTGCGAGTTGCCTAAAAGGCCACCACAGTGCTCCGAAACGTGGGCGGATGAGTTTCAAAACCGTTGATTCGATAGGCGGCTGGATCTTGGTTTCTGTCAGCTATGAGCAGGATCGTTTTCAAGTGAGATGTACAGGTTGAGATTGGCGCGCTTCTATTGCGTCCAGGCCAGTAGCACAACAGTCGGTGCAATATATTGAGGGAGAACAAATTACCCAAGGAGGGACGACGTCTATTTGTTGTGGGCGAACCAGTCAAATAGTGAAGAATGAGTTGAGGGTTGTGAGTGGTTCGTTGATACTATGGAGCTGACTGGCTGCGGTTGGCCAGGCTTAACAACAGCGGTAGACTCTCGTCATGATAGCCAGCCTTCGTATCCCTACATCCTAGGGCTCATAGATCCCGTATCGTGGGAACCGTAGGAAAGAGTTTGCATGAGCGGAAGCGGACTTGCTCTGCATCTGAAGCCCCACGCATATTTTGGGGGGGGGAGGAGGGGGGGGATTGGGCTCCGTAGCCGTTGTCCTGTGAGAAAACATGTTCCCAACAGCCAGGGCATGGGATGCAGTGTGGGGACATGTGCACCTTGATGAGCACTGAAAGCACTCTTGGCTCATACCGTGCGTAGACCGGAGAGAAAGCCAAATACCCCCCAATACTCTACTCCAAATAGGGAAGCCTTTCGCGCTTGTTTAGGGCGTAGGCGGGGAGAAAGGATGTCGCCGCTCAGGGTAACTGATCCACAGGTACGGACGGAGAAGCTCGGTACTGGCTCCAGGCTTAGCCCAATACTGTGGTGCGGGTCAACGCCAGATGAGTTGGGAGTAGCTTGAAAGGTAATAAGGTACGCTGGGTGAACGTTGCAAATCACTGCTGAATCGACCGTGTTGGCTGTGCAGACGTGTCGTCATGTCCCAGTTTCTGCATCCCATCACACCTACCGATACTACTCTAGCTACCCTGCTCGCTCCGCACAGTCTATCGGGCAGGTGATAGGACCTCCGGCCGGGGAAAGGATCCTGCGACTGTTTGGGGGTTTAGAATCGCACTCCACTCCGGCTGAGTCGTAGCGTGTGTGCTCTGCACTCGCTCTAAGAAGTCGTCCAGTCGTCCTGACCGTGGCGGAGATCTTTACAGCAACTCGGTTTGTTAGTGGGCCGGGGAAGGCGGGACGAGCCACTAGGGTCCAAATCCAACGAGGGAGAAGTAACGCCTAGAACAGAAACAGGTAGCCCGGGTCCAGTTGTGGTACTGCGTGTGCAAAGGCAATCTAATCTAACCTTGCCCTTGTAAATCACATTGGACGAAACACAACTGACAGGAAGTTACGGCCTTTGCAAGGAAGGAACAGCAGAAGAGGCTCCTGATAAAACATACCTGCACGGCTCGCGGATCGAGGATTAAAACAAATGGCGCGTTCGGCACGCTTACTCCTGGACTTGTATATCAGTGGCACTGTCCACGACTTCAAAAAACCTCATCCCAATGCAATCATTGTCCAGCATCGTACTTGACGTATCGGAAATGTCCCGAGAGGCACGACCCGGTCGGCACTACAGCTCTATCACTGTGGGCCCGACAAGGGAGCAGCAAATGCAAGATGAACAAACACCCTGCGGGTCCGTGGGATTTCGTCCGTGGGATTTCGTCCAACGCGCCAAGTTCAGCCCTCCCGGCAATGCAGGCACAAAAGCTGTCTGTGGGGATTAATTGCTTCCACGTTCCTCATGCAAGCCGCCCATTGATTTCCAACCCATTGTGCGACCCAGCCTTCGCCTCGCCGAGCGATCCGAGTGGCGTGTAAAACAGACGCTCATAATGCAGGGCGAAAAGGTGGCGATGACGGACTGATCGTCCCAAGGTTGCCTCGCTGGTGCCTTTGGCTTCCATTCATTTCGTCAGATACCCAGTCGTGTGCCTTGGAATGATCCTAATTACATCTCATATTGTAGCAAACCACTGGTTGACTTCGTCCAGGATGTGCAACTGTATCACAGAGTAGTATTTCCCGCTACTGAGTACGTACACTGGGAAGTAAGTTACTCACTTTGTGAGTGGACTCGGTGGAGTGCGGAGTGCATATAAATCCACCAGCTGCATACCCCATGTCCATGCACTGCCGACAACGAGTATGACTGTTTCACACGTCGAGCATAAAACGGCCTGTTGGTTTTGCTTCTGTGCCTCCCACCGCATCAAACCTTCATCACGGGGGCTTGACGTCGGTCGAACTGCCCAAGGAAGCAAGACACAACCAAGGCGACAAGTTTTGAAGAATTCACAGGGCCTATGATCTCGCTTTGCCGGACTTGTGAGCGAAGGAGCGAAGGATTGTGCGCAGCTTTGCGTCGACCTCGCATGAGAAATTAGAGGTCCCTGCCCGGCCGTTTTTTTGGTTGTGGCGATCCCAGTATGGCTTCATACAGTTATGGTTTCAGTCACTTCAAGGGGAAGTAATTCAAGTACAGCGTGGTGTGAATCTGCTCCTTGGCTCAAGTTTTTCACACATTTCGGAAACGGTTGGCGTTTACATGCATATGGACACTATCTGTCTCCTGTTGGGGACCATGAACCAATGCCACAGCGCGGGGTGAAATGGCAACTCACAACTCATACTCGGGCACCAAGGGAAAAACATAGCGGAGAAGGGTGGATAAAGGCCTTTTGGACCAGCATCTTGGAAATCCGATCCTATATTCTGGGGTTCATGTCGAGCTACTGCATCTGATCTTACTGGAGGCCATCTGTTCCACATGACGATATAGCCAAGACTTTCGGTATTGTGAAGCCATTCCCAAACCTGTGAAAAGATTTTGTCATCCAACAAGCTTCCTCAGTTCAGCATGCGCAAATTAGCTGACTTGTCCGAATTCAGCTATCGCAGGGTCCTGCTCCCTGCATGATGGCTGTGTTAGCCAAGTATTTGAACGGTGTGACAATTAATTATCTCCGGTTTCAGCGTCGCTCAAGTTGAGTCCGAGATTAGCACGGAGTTATTCGGATGCTGCCTCTGTGATGGGTCGGCGGTGCGGTGGACTAGCTGATCGGAATCGGAAATATGCTAATACTCCGTAGTTAACAAACCAGTGGCCCGACGCGCTGGTGGCCGAGCCCAATTTAGTGACCACGGCCTTCGTACTCCGTACACGCGGTTGTGCAAGGCGTAGGCCGCTATACCCATTGCTAAGTACATGCATACGCGTCCAGTAAATGATGCCTTGTTGGTGACGGCCAGGGTAAGCTTCGACGTACATGATTGTGGGGGATGTGAAGCACCAAGGGCTTGTCTCCGACTTTCTGCAGAGTTGGCGACGGTGAGAGGTTCGAACCCTCGTTGTCATGCACCCAGACACTGCGTGCATTGGATCCCTCTGAAACCGATGTTCGAGATCTAGCGGTCAGCGGTCAAACCACCATAAGGTCCCATTGTCCAGTGGCTGCATATCCTCCAACCTGCATGCCCACAACAGGGGTGACATGTACTTCTCATCTCATGTATATGGCATATCCATGCCCCAGAGCGTAGACGTGTAGTTTCAGGCAAAATAAAAGTCGGTCACCGCACATTGCAATTCCCCCATCCTGGACACTACACTTCTGAAGCACACAGCAGATTAAACAGCTCCAACCAACCTTCATACGGCAGAGGTTTACTGTGCCAGCAGAGCTTTGTGGTCATCGTATACTATAGTCAAGAGCTTCAGACTGTGCAAATCGGACGTGAAACCTGCCACAAACAGATCAGTAAGGAGGATAATCACCACAAGAGTACTCTACCTGTGGCATGAAATTTTAACACTGTGATGTGCGGACCGGTTCATGCACGTCTCCTTCCCCACCTACAACTATCCTCGGAAATTGACAAATTGCTCAGAACTTTTCCCCCTAGACCCTCAGGGCTCTACTTCCAGTCAATTACGCATTATAACTCCCATCTCCATCCATTCCTGCTCCCTTCAAGCATCTCTAGGTGGTTATGAAGGCTTCAACTCCCTAACGGCCGGATCTAGGCCCCTAAGACAGTGCTTTTACTCGCCCCTAGGAACCACAATCACCATCCTTCAACCACACTTCTAAGAAACAGCATAGGACACTTAGTACCAATACTGTGCCTCCTCTACGCCTCAGCTAATATCATGGATATTTGTTATCCAAAATATCCTTGATATCCCTTTGGCACGACACCACTATATAAGTAGATAGTATTTCCTTAGATAGGAGCTTCGTGCTCAACTCAATATAGTATTCTTTACAATACTGTTGTTACTTAAAAGCCTTTATGTCTAATCCCTGCCTCCTCTGTCAAGTCAACCTTACGCAAGAAACCTCTGTGTCTTCTATCATTTAGAAGTCAGCGTTACACATAGATGAATAATTTCATTATGATTAAATGATTATAATGGTTTGATAGTAGAGCACAATGCCCTGTTCTACTATTAATGGATAATTTCAGTGGTTATGAAGTTGTAATGGAATGTTGTCATAGATAATGGAACTCTGTTAAAATGGACATGAGTTATGTGGTTTCCTCTAAACATAACATCAATTTATCAACTGCTCGATTAAGGGATTATTCAAAATTAGAAGTGCTACATATAAAACAATTGATTCTATTCTTGCAAAAGGAGTTCAATGCAAACTACGATTATAAAAAAACTCAGTATGTTCTCTATGCGATTTGATAGGGAATTTCTACATAGGAAACAATTCAACCATTAACAACTATCAACTGTTAGAAAAAAGGGTTTACTATTTCTACAGAATGTGGTTTATATAACCTATAGGAAGCATTTTATGAAGTTTTACAAGAGATTCAAACAAGTATGAGTGCTTTAGCTCAAGAGCAAAGGATCCATAGGCTTATGAACATTAAAAACTTCATTAATCCATCAAACGAGGTTATTGAAGAATTACATGAAGAGCTTGTTAAGCAGATTGCAGTACAATATGACATTATACAAGAGGAAGAGGATAATGATGAAGAGGAGGAGGTTATTGTAATGATGTATGGTTACGCTTGCGCTACATCCCACTGAGCCAAAAAGACTACAGTATTCTGGCTCCCCCGGAATACGCGTAACACGCTTTATATACCACATGTACTGTAACGGCGGCACCTGTTATTCCTCAAGTTTCAATATCTAAAGCAATTGCAGCTTTGAAAACCTTAAACTATATTAAGAACAGCAAGCAAATCAATCAAGTCAAGCTTCATTGCTCACTTGAAAAGAGAGCTTCAGGAAATGGAGGTTGTATAGGTACAGTCACAGAAACAGTCTACTCTGAATGGCTGGTTAGGGGGGGTATGGGGTAGAATTGCAGAAGCATCACGTGATATATATGGGTACGTACTGTAACTGTTGGGGAAACGGACATTCCCGTGGGATACGGTGGACTTTTACGCCCAAAAATGACAGGTTTTCGCTAGGGAACTGTCCAGCTTCCCGGTTGGCTCACGAGTCAGACAGTGGCGCCAGGCTAGAGTATTGAAAGCCACTGACTGAGCTCAGCTGAAGCACAGTGAGCTCGTCAGGGTCTTGGGGGTTTCCCCAGGCCTACAAATAGCGTACGTAGGCCCGTAGATTAGGTTGTAATTCAATTAATTATATTATACTATTTTACTGTACTCTACTGTGAAGCTTCTGCTCCATTGCCCGAAGAGACTGATTACGGTTGTCGGAGATTACCACACAAAAAATTCGTGTGTACTCCGTAGTTCCCCGTATTCCGCACGTCCCATAACCTTCGGGAGGTCCAGTATCACATGACCGTAAATAGATCCGGCTCGAGGATTTCATATCGACCTGCTTATTCCGTACCTGCAACGTCGTTCATGACTTGCATGAAAAACACTGCATGGCTTTCTCAGTCAGATCCTCCTTCCATCCCTGGTTTCGTCAAGTTCAAAGTGTATATGAATCACGTGACTATCATTGTGCCATATGGCCTTCTTGTCTCCTATCTCATACCCAAACATAAGTGCACCATGGAATAGAAGAAGAGCTTTAACTTGATTAACAGCCATACCTTTTATCGCGTCTACTCGGCCCAGAAGGGATTCATACTAGGTAGCGCCCAGTCTTCATAATCAATTGTGCTGTGCTGATAGAAAAGCAGTAAACCCCGAGTTTTATTGCTCCTAAAAGGCACCACTGCTTGTTACTGATAATGGCTTTGACTGACCAAGGTTTGATAAACTTCATCGAGTTTCTTGTGGATATCAGGTGACTGACGACGGATACATACCAAGGGGGATAAGATTAATCAAACCCGCTCTCGATAACATCCTAATCGGATAAAGGTGAAAGGCCTGCAACTCCCTCGATTCGCCCTCAAGGTTCACATATATATAAACACAAGTATATTTGGCAGATAGCCTTATATTCTCCGATCGATTGGCCTAACCCCGTTTTGTCGCCGCGGACCGCCCTTCCGAGAGCTCCGCAGGTAAGAGATAGTCTCGAAGAAGCCACCTGACTCTTCCGTCCGATAAATCTCTCATATATCCGTCACTCCTCTCAATCGCGCTTCTCTCGACGACTCTCGAAAGCAGCGACCATTTGGAGCCTTGATCGAATTGCAGACTGCTACCAGCCACCCGATCAAAATTTGGACCCAAGGCCGCCAAAGCGAGAGAAGCACCGAGATAAACAAGCTCGGTCCGCCCAACAACATGCCGGAATTACAGAGATGGGAGATTCAGGAGCCATACCTCAGGCCCAATGGTGACCTCCTTGAAGGCCCATTTTACGAGCCTGAAAACAACCGCCTCCGTTTCGTCGACATCATCCAACGAAAGCTCCACGTGATTGATATCGCCGAAGGGCCGTCATCGCTCAAGACCATCGACTTTGATATCCCAGTTGGCGTTACGGCAGATATTGAGGGCGTCGATAGCAAGGATAAGATCCTGATAGGCGGAAAGGCTGGAATTGCGATCCTAGACCGGAACACGGGGAAGTACGAATACATCAAGAGGTTTTACGATGACGCAGATGAGGCTCGAGATGATCTGATGAGGAGTAACGACGGGAACGTCGATTCCGAGGGCCGAATGTGGATCGCGACCATGACTGATTTCCACGCTGGACCGTGTAAACCAGAGGGTATTTCTCCCCTTTCTAGCGCGGCATCCCCTCACTAAAACTGACAAATGCCAGGACACCTTTTAAGCTTCGACTCTAACCTCAAGCGTGAGACTCACCGCTCCGAACTCGTCATCCCCAACAGCGTCGGCTGGTCCCTCTCCAATACCGCCTTCTACCTCGTACACTCCACAGAGGCCACCATCTACGCCTACGACTTCGACGCCGCCACCGGTGCTATCAGCAACCCGCGCGTTTTCTGGAAGCTCGATACTGGCTCTGAACCCGACGGATTTGCCGTCGACGTCGAAGGCTACATCTGGCAGGCCGTGTACGGCGACGGCAAGGTGCTGCGCATCAGCCCCGAGGGCAAGACCGTGGGCGAGATCATACTGCCGACGCGTAACGTGACGTGCTGTGCATTCGTCGGCGAGGACCTGTGGATCACGACGGCGAGCGAGTCTGCGGAGAATGCGAAGTTGTACCCTGAGAGTGCGCGGAACGGAGGCGCGCTCTATAAGATCAATGTTGGTATCACGGGGGTGGAGAAGCATAAGTTCAAGTTGACTGAGGAGACGAGGAAGACGGTTGGCCTGTGAATTCTCGGATGAGGTGGGTGGAAGGCTAGGTATTCTTTTTTCATAGTGAACACAATTCCAGCTGGTGCAGTTACTATCTCGCGTTGATGTAATTTGCCCGTTTCTTTGGCTCTATTGCCGAGTAACTTGTTTATTGACTGGCACCTTCATTCCAACCAAAGCCGATTTAAATGGTGGCTGACTTGCACTGTCCTTTTCAATTTTTAGGAGGGCACGATCAGTGTCCCTCTTCAAACTTGGGGAAGGAATGGGTGGCGTCCCCCGTCAAACTTTGGGAAGGCACGAGCAGTGCTCCTGTTTATAATTTGAGAAGGTACGAACGATGTTTCTCATGAAACTTTGCCTCAGTCGCCATAGCTAGATCCTCTTTTGCCACTGATTCCATTCCACCAATTACGGTTTCAGTGCCTGAAAATGGCATAGTATATTAATATTCCTGAGCTGTTGCTTCTATCATTAAACTTCCCGGCTTCATAAAGGACGACCTCATTACTTCGACCTCGTCCACATTCACGAAAATTATCAGCAGGAGCAAAATAGCATATCTAATAAAAACACAACGCTTCTCAAATTTCGCTCCTCTCTCTCGTGCTAATATACTATTTCTGACCTCAATATCCCTCGTACTCTCTACCTACCCTTCACATAACACAGCAATGCTCCCCATGCCCCCCCATCTCTGCTTTCCGTGCCCACGCCTTCTCAACATGACACCCATGACACTCACCCTTGCTCTCCTCGCGTGCGTACTTGGCGCGAGAGCATTTCTCTACTAACTCTTGGGCTTGGGATAGAGTGAGTTGTTCTCCCTCTCTGTCACCATGACCGTGGGGCGGGTGTGGAGCTGGAGTAGAATGGGTATGGGAGTGAAAATTGGAAGTTGAGCTGTCACAGGGGAAGGAGAGGGTGGAGTGATGGTGGAGTGTGGTGGAGGGGAGGGGGCTGAGGGAGCAAAAGGCTATGTAGTGGGTAAGGTGGGCGGGTAGGCAGGTGTATGTTGTTGTTGTTTGTTTGCACATCTTTGGTAGCGGTGGTGGTGGTGGTATGTGAGGGTGGTGTTTTTCGGTTTGGAAAGGGGGGAAAGGGGATTGTAGGATCGGGGGTTATACGGGGGGACGTTGAATGGGGGTGGGATGGAGTTTGAATGAGTCAAGGATTCATAATGGGATTGTGGATCAAGATGGTTGAATGGGGTTTTGAAGGGCATAAAGGGGTTTCTTTGTGCAAAATAGGAGACTGGCACATAAGAACTTTATAGCATCTCGAGACTCGGGAAATGGTAGCAAGAGCAAAATCTGCTTACGTATGCTGTTTAAGAGGACCATTACAGAGTCTTAAATTTTGAAGCTGAGATGTTGCACCGTTGATGGTGTGCGTCGCATTTAACCAATAGCACTCCAAACTATGGAGGAAGAAGCAACAGTGAAAACCGATATGTCTAGCAGGACCATTCAAGCGTCTCACGTTTCGAAGCCAGATAGTAGGGTAGTTTCACTAGTGTGAACCGCGATCGACCAATCTGCCAGTGCCATGAATTTATATCAAGTAAACACAGCACAACGTCTGCCAGTGACTGGTGAGAAATCTATATCCGTGGACCTAGATGATTTCGAGAAACCAAGGCCATGGCTTGGTCTGAACTATCGGACGATCTGGGCTCTAAAACCCCCCATCTTTTTCTCCTATCAAGGAGGAGCCTCATCTTGTCTAGATGGACGTATAAGTATTCCTCTGCAATATCTGTAACAAATTAGGCAGACTAAGAATTACAAAATAGCCACCGAAACACTCAGCTTTGAACAAAGACCCTCTTTGTTCAGCGATTGCCCAGATGCTGGATCAAAGGAAGATAGCCATTCTTCATCGGAATATCACCACATTCACCACCTCGTCTCGGCCCGAGCGGCAAGACAGGGGTATAAACACTCCTTTATCCATCCCCGTCACTCAAAGAAAAATCTCGAAACATATACACAACCACCCTCTTCCTCCTCCTTCGTTCCCCCTTCACCCTCACCATTACCAAAAATGTCTCTCACTGAAATGCCGCCACTTCCACCATGCCAACCACTCATCACAGAACATCCTCGACAGTCTCAAGCTGAAAGCCCTTCGAGATGGGTTGTATAAATACAGCCTCTTCTTCTCCCCATTGCCCACTCTCCAGAAACCACATCAACATTCGCACAGCAAGAACGCAACACACCAACCAGGTAAGCGATCCAAACCATCAAACCAACACCACCAACACCACCAACTCCTAACACCACCCACCACAACATCCAATCCCAGTCCATTTCCCCACAATGTGCAAAATCATCCACACCCATCACCGCTGTGGCCACAGCTTCATCCAGCAGCGTCCCTGCCGGTGGCTCCGGTCACAGCTGGCACCAATATGCCGCCCCACGGAGTGTCCGTATACGGAGCATAGGGTTGGCGTAGATTGGTCGCTGTGTATGAGTTGTGAGGTGGCGCTAAGGCCGGGGGGGTATTGGCCGGGGGGGTTCATTTAGATGGGTGATGGGGCAGCGATGGTAAGTTGGGTATCTTTTTGTTTGATATTTGGTCTTGGGGTTTGGATGCAGGTAAGTTGAGCAACGTATTTCACATACGAGTCGCCTACACAAGCGAGTCGCCCACCCCATTTCTCACCAAAAATTAAGAAACCTATAACATAATATCTCAACAGCCCAATAACGGTTATTATTATTATTTTTTATAGTATTTCCTATGCGCTTGAATTCATATACCTTGGTCTTAGAGTGATTATTTTAGTAATTATTAAGATATTAGTTTCTAAGGTTGTAGATATCACCTACGTCTTAGTATCTTAAGAATTACTAAATATATCAACGTAGTTCACAAGCGAGTCGCCTACACAAGCTCACCGCCGATTATTCCTTGGCATCGTACGAAATCATAAAATATCTCAACAATTAATTAATTAAACTAAGCCGTAAGAAAGTAGGGGTTGTATAAAGCCTTTATACAACCCCTACTTACTTGCAAATAAGCTTGTAATTGTATATTAGCCTCTCTTTAAGCCTCTAAGACTCAGACAGCTTCGACAGTAAGTACTCCTCCTTCTTGTAATCAACATTTCTTCATACGACAACGTAAACTAAGTTTAGGAACTGAAATTTAGACCAGGCCTTTATATTTAAATATCTACTAACGTGGTCCATATCCGAGTGAAACACCCAAGCGAGTGAAACACCTAACTGCAACAACATACCACCAAAAGCAATGGATACACCTTCTCATCACTGCCTGGATGCCAGTCAACATCAGATGCCTGATCGGCCCGTAGCTGGTCGAATGCATCGCGGAGTTCCTTCTGCAACTCCGAGGTCACGACGGTGTCAGACTTGACAATGGTGTTGCCCACCGAATCGAGGGTAGGGATGAGACCCGTCCGTTGGAAGTTAGCAGCTTTCGCCCTCAACTTCTTGATGCACTAAATTGGATATTAATAACTTGAATTCCCAAATTAATAAACCACATACATAGTCAAAAGCAGTTTCCGACATCATGCGTGCGCGTGGCATGGGACTTTGACTCCACCCGATTTACTCTCAACCAGCTGTGCATATAGCTTATCCTCCGGCTGCTCCAATGCCCCCGTCCGCGACTTGACGACTATTTCCTCATCGAAGACCTTCTTGTCCCAGTTAGGCTTGTCAGACAACCGGTCCATCAATACCATCATGAATACTTCGCGGACAGGCAAATGCTCCGATTCGGCGCCCGCGCAGTTGCCATGGGCGCCAATGGGGTATGACTTCGCAGCCAGCCCAGTATGATAATGGCGCAAGTCAACATTGATACCTGGGTAGTCGTGCGTCATTTTTTGTACGAATCGTCCGCAGACGGGAAGCGTGCGACGAGCTTATGTGGGGGTTGAGAGAGAAGAATGATGGAGCATAGTATGGAAATAAAAGCAATTGGGAAGCCACAGTGGCGTATCTTTATACCTCTTTACCATAATATATGGCGGGGTAGGTAAGCCAACTCTCCTGCCTCGAGGGATTGTCGGGAGTACCTAACGCCTATTAGAATGTTAAGTGCTTAAAGGGGAGAAAGACGAAAGAAGGGTGACCGCTAAGAATATTGGCAGCTTTCTGTGATTTTTGCCAGTTCTGGATTACAGTTCTCACTGTATATCTCCCAATAGGCAAGTAATTTTCACATACGACCATAGACTCAATAGAACTGGGCATCCCGTCCGCTCTGCCATACATAACCTTGAGATCGGTGGATTAGTAGTTGGGTGGGTGACCACCAGCGAATACCCACTGTTGTATGTTTTTTGTCTTTTTATACAATAGATTTATTTACCTTCTCCTTAGTGGCATGGCGGATTTGCCGTGTCCACACCTTTTTTTCGCTAGAAGGCATGATTTAAAGCCGATATAGAATCAGCGTTAGGGATTGTCATAATATAGCCGACTATAAGAACTACAGCGGAAGTGGATTGATTCACTTTTGCTAGTTCAACAGGGATCGAACTTCAGAGTGGCTTGGTCATATGTCTGACCAATCCTTTTAGATGCTCTTGTAGAATAGAGTGCCTAATTTGTCTACCTCTACGATTTATACACCTAGAGAGCAACTTAACAAGTTAAATGCAGAGTTTTTAAGGCATATAGAATGGGTTATATACTCTAGTGAAGAGTTAGGAACTGTTTTGTATGTGAAAGTTAGTGCCAAGGGCGTTGTTATTAAACATATAAGCAAATAAAATGAAAGAAAGTAGAGGACCATTTGCATCACGGCTGTAGGGTTGATAGGTACGAATCACCAAGCTATGCAGAGTCAGGTCACTTTCTTGAAGGCGTGGACTGATATGGATCATGATAGGCAAGTTAGATGAAAATATTAATGATGACGCCTTTTACAGTTATTAAAAGTTGGCAGGGTAAATGCACCACGTTACGCCATCCCCCGCGTTATGACATGACTTACATTAGAGGAAGTAATTAAATGTAGAACATCTAACAATGGTTCACCATAAAAGCCTAGGGGGGGTTGCTAAGTGTGAAACTTTAATAGCCTAGGCAGTATTAGACATCTAATCTAAGAAGTACAAGAGCGCATATCACGTAAGAAAGTGCTAGGGTTGCTAAAGAGTTTAGTTACATGACATGTTAATAGAGGTTTGACATGTCCCTAAGCCTGCTAGAAGCAACAGAATTTATCAGGAGCACAAGAACAGATACTTCCAAAGTGGATTAAAAACCTAACAATTAGCGGCTATTCTCTAGGGCATCGGTTGTTAAAGAAAATAGCTAAAGAACTCTAGTTGCACTAGTCACTTAATTTCGATGATGTGACGCCAAACTAACTTCTACCCTAACCACGATTTTCCCTTAGTCGCGACTAGGTACCACGATTCATACAATGACATCCCCATTTATAGGTTGCTATTAGTTGACGGATCAAGACTATACGCATAGATGGTGTAACAAAACTAGTGCTTACAGCATGGTTTGACATGTATATAGAGGTGGTTTAACACTTCAGAATCACATAAGGGAACAATGGAATCTACTCAAATTATACTTGATTTAACACTTTGTACAAAGCATTAAGCGCATCCTAGTCGTTAGGAATGGGTTTTGATAGTCGAGTGCATCTATGTAGACAGAACCATCCTTCTGCTCTTAGGATCTTTAAAGGCAAGAACGTTCTCTAATCATGGATTCTGCCTTTAGTCATTGACTAGTGGTTCTTTTCTACGAATACGAAAGGCTAGACAAGTAATCTCTATAGGTTAGAGTGGTTAAAACGCATCTTTGAGCTAATGACACATACAAAAGCAGACAGTTAGCACCAGCTTCTCATATGCGATGGCCACGACTCACACATTAGCAGGAGTTTCATTGCGCATTACATGCAGAACCACATTGTATTACTAATACTTCCCCCTTATACATCGCATTTGCTACAGCCACTAGATGTTGCAATATTTGGCCTGCTAAAGAAGTGCCTAATAGCAGCGCTCTCCCTACTCAATCAAGTGCAACTTGCACGTATACAAAAGTATGAATGGATAGAGGCATACATCTAGGCATGGCTTGATGTATTTAACCATAAGAACATTGACGCATCGACGACGCGGTATTAAATCACGACTTAATTGCATGCCTAATTCTATGAAGTTAACAAAACTAGAAGAGGAGGTCATTATCTAATACATTCTTGACTTAGATTCACGATCTTGTGCACTAAGGCTTAGTGGTGTGGAAGAAATGGCCAACAGATACTTACAGAGTGTAACGCGCCAAAGGTTGGCATCTACTAGGTGGAAAACTTTATAAAGCGACAACCACAGCTACAGACAAGCTGTTTTCAGAAATATGACTACCAAAGCAGTGTTGGCAATAGACCGACCTAAATAGATGGTCTGGTCGGTCAGTCTAAATAGACCGACCAGACCGCCTCAAAATCTGAGCCAGACCGACCGACGAGAGGTTCTCATGTCGGCAGACCAAACAGACCGTCTGCAAGTCGACAGACTGTCTGTGTTACGACGGAACAAGAAGGCTGGCCAACTACAGGACAGGAAGGAGGGAGGTCGCATGAGACCGGCCCTGGTACCTGGAGGGGCAGCGGGGAATAGTAGTTCCGAAAGTATCACGTGACGGACTCGCAGGATGATGAGAAGAGTCCTAAGAGTCCAGGACTCTGAGGACTCGAGTGAGTTCCCAGGAGTCCACTAGGCACGTGATGGACTCGCAGGATAATGAGAAGAGTCCTAAGAGTCCAGGACTCCGAGGACTCGAGTGAGTTCCCAAGAGTCCACTAGGCACGACGCCACTATATAAGTAGATAGTATTTCCTTAGATAGGAGCTTCGTGCTCAACTCAATACAGTATTTGTTATATACTAGTAACGTGTTACTTGAAGCCTTTGTGTCTGATCCCCTGCCTCCTCTGATAAGTAAACCCTTACGCAAGAGAACCTCTGTGTCTTCTATCGTTTAGAAGTCAGCGTTACACTTTGAGCACCACTTCTACGAGGTACCGGCTTACACACAAAGCAACATGTCTGTCGTCAGTTCGAAGGGGAAAACCCCCACCACGCCAACTTCGTCTCAGAGGTCTAAGCCTGAGAATGAAGAGATGCCCGATGCACCCACCGTCAACGAACTCAAGGAAACTCTACGCGTCAAGTTGCCCGACACTTACTCCGGCAACCGAAAGGAACTTGAGGTGTTTTTGCTACAGGTCGAACTGTACCAGCACTTCAACGACGAGAAGTTTCCCACCCAGGAGAGCTATGCCCTGTGGACTGCGTCCTACCTTAGGGGGGAAGCCCTGCGATGGATCGAACCATTCCTCAAGGACTATTTCAAATATGAAAGTACCAATGGAAGCATGACAACTACGCAGACTATGTTTGGCAGCTGGAATGGATTCTGTAAGGAAATCCGACGCATGTTCGGAGACATCGATGAGATTAAGACCGCAGAAGACCATCTGTTTGCACTTAAGCAGACTGGCAGCGCCCTCACATACTCCACAGAATTCCAGAGATACGGCAATCAGACAGGATGGGACGCCAGCGCACTCATCAGCCACTACCGACGTGGGCTGAAGAGCCATATACGTATGGAACTTGCCCGTTTGGAACAACAACCAACGGACATGGTAGCGCTAATCGAACATACGGTCCGAATCGACAATCGACTATACGAATTCCAGAAGGAACGTCGGACCTATGACAAGCCCAAGAAAAGTTACCCCTACCGGGGAAACGAGGGCAGACGACGGGATCAACACCCGCGAGACAACCGTTGGTCGGACCCAATGGAACTCGATGCCACGTTCAAACCTGGACGACCCCGTGACCCTAAGAAAGACAGACAATTCAAGGAATGACTCTGTTTTAACTGCGACAAGCCAGGCCACATGGCCCGAGACTGCAGACAGCCAAAGAAAGGGAACGGCGGACGCAAAGTCGGCAAACAACTCAATGCCACCTGGACAGGACAGTTGAACGCAACGTTTGTGAGCAAACAGGACTGGGGAATAAACGGCGAAAGCACCCCAGAAGACGAGAGCTCAGATGAAGGGTCGGAGGCGGGATCATCCACCGTCTCGGAACAGGAGACCTTCGATGAACTCGCACCTACGGAACAAATGAGTCCACGGTGCAAGAACGTAGTAAGACGCATGGCAAAACACGCCCACGCGAAGATTAGGGCCGAACGAGACAAGCCCAATGGCCAGAGGAAAATCCCCATGCTTAAAGACCTCTACGGGAACCTGTTACAGGAACTTCCGTTAAAATGCAAGGTGGACGACTGCAAGGATGACCTCTGGAGATACTACGACCAACTAACGAATACCCGCAGGCTGCTTGGCACGTCCCAAGACGTAGCTAAGTTGGAAGCCCAAGAAGCGGAAGAACTGGAGAAGGATGTCGAGCATATGGCTAAACTGAAGTATATGAAAAGCGTCGAACTTTACTACCAGGACCGCAGGAGAGCCCTGAAGAAGTACGACGAGAAAGCCAGAGATATGCTCCGACGGGAAAATGCGAGACCCACTCCACGCATCGAAAGGAGAGCCATGGAGCAACTAGACACGTTCTCCACGCCTCCGAGGGAAGATAGTGCATGGGTGAGAGGACAGCGGGAACTATCAACGACAGACGCAACAGAGACTGATCATCCCTGGCACGCGTATGTCTACTGGGAGTATTGCAGCGAAGATGACTGCAAGCTCCACTGGAAAAAGAAACACCAGAATCAGTTGTTTCCCCGATCCTCGCCCAGGATACACTTCAGAGACGCAGAGCAAGTTCACGCCCTCAGGCGAAGCCAGTCTGAAGGGGACTTGC